AAAATATTAAAATTATGCCCATATTAGCTGATAATCCATAACATTTAATTAATAACAAAGATCATAATAGTAATAGTAATCTTATATTTCATTATTCTAAAATTGGAATTGTAAACTTAAGTTCTAATTCTTTTTTGGGCTACTAAGTTGCAGTTAATCTAAATTCTTACAGTGATGTGGAAGGAATATTTTAATATGGTTGTCCATATGTCCATTAAAAACATGAGTGCACACACTGAAATGTCTTGCCTGCCTAACTGATCATGATTGATTATATGTTGAAAGTCATTGAGATAAAGGTTTAACTGATCATGATTGATTATATGTTGAAAGTCATTGAGATAAAGGTTTTACTACAAGTAAAACATAAACTTAACATTATCAATGATCCATGTAAATGAGGTCAAGCTCAGATGAACCCTGACAGACAGACATGTACACCTTACAATCATTCCTTACACCAAAATAGTTAAAAGGTAAAATAACAAAAATACCGAACTCCAAGGAAAGTCCTTTATCAAATGGCAAAATACCTATTGCTTAAATAGAAATAGACCGAACCATGAAAAATTAAAACTGACAAATGATCCACGAAAATGAGGTCAAGGTCAGCTGAGACAGAAATGTATAATTCACAATCATATCATACACCAATATAGTTTATCTATTGCTTATAGTATCTGAGAAACAGAATTAACCAGAAAAACTCAACATTGACCAATAAACCATGAAAATGAGGTCAAGGTGATATGAACCCTGCCAGACAGACATGTACACCATATAATAATTTGATACACCAAAAATAGTTGACTTATTGCTTGTAGTATCTGAGAAACAGAACTTATCATGTAACTTTTACCTTGATCACTATCTATGAAATGAGGTCGATGTCAGTGAAGACTGTCTGAGAACATGTAAACCTTGCAAGGATCCCATATACCAAATATAACTATTCAATTACTTATAATAAGTGAGAAATTTACACAACAAAAATACTGGACTATTTTTTTAAGATGTCACTAAACCAAGAAAATGAGGTCAAGGGCAATGGACATGTGACAGACAAAAATTTGTAACATTACGCATCTATACAAGGTCTTCAAGCCTCTAATATATAAAGCTTTATACCAATAGTTTAAGCATACCGGATTATGTAATTCCAATGTAAGACAAAAACTATTGATCAATCAATATAAAAATAAGGAGATGTGGTATGATTGCCAATGAGACAAGCATAGTTACAAATAAATAAAACTTAAATCTAAAACCATTAACCTGTTTACTACCTACAGCATGAAACTGACACTGAGGACCATTTTAATACTAAAATGTCGGTCTACTTTTTCTGCTGTACATGTGACTTTGATCTCTGACCAAATTGACATAAAAACCACTAAGGTGTTTTTCACCACAAGGTTTATTATCCACTACAGATTGGTAAAATTTGAGTGAGGACTCCAAATATATTGCCTGGAAACAAAACTTTTCCCCAGATTTTGGTGTATTCATAGGCAGTGATTTTGACCTTCGATCCACTGATCCACAGTAAAAATCAACATGTGTCTTTATTTTTTCCAAGAGTCATTTTTAGTTTGGTGAAGGTCGGTTCAACTTTCATCATGACACCAAAATTTTTCCAAAATTTCAGTCTATTGATTGCTGCTGTAACTAATGACCTAATGACCTTTGACCTAGTGAGTGATATTAAAATCAATAGGGTATTCTTCACCAAATAGGACATTTATCATCACATTATTTTGGTAAAGATGTTCATGGCTCAAAAGTTTTTGTCTAGAAACTGAAATGTTGATTATCATATTAAAAGCGAAGTTCAACTATGTCGCAACTTGGCTAAAAATATATAATCAAGACACTATATCAAACAGCATTCTAGATATTAATGGTCTACCATAATTACTTCTTTTAAAATCACACCAAAAAATCCTACTATTTGAAACATAAGTACTTCTTCTAACTATACCTCAACATAAGTTCTTCTACTAACTATACCTCAACATAAGTACTTCTTCTAACTATACCTCAACATAAGTACTTCTTCTAACTATACCTCAACATAAGTACTTCTTCTAACTATACCTCAACATAAGTACTTCTTCTAACTATACCTCAACATAAGTACTTCTTCTAACTATACCTCAACATAAGTACTTCTTCTAACTATACCTCAACATAAGTACTTCTTCTAACTATACCTCAACATAAGTTCTTCTACTAACTATACCTCAACATAAGTTCTTCTACTAAATATACCTAATCAGAAAAATCATTAATGAATGTTAAAATTTTAATCATTACACCCCTCCCAACACTGTATACATTCTCTTCCTTTCACTTTTGAATCCCATTAGTAAATTGTCACTTACAATTATTAATTCAGAAAATCCTTTATAAAATTAAATTGCTTTCATAATAACATGTATTTACGTCATCCATTATTGACAAGAACATATCCTCTCAGAATTATTTGTGTCAAATAATAGAAAATTGAAGTGGATGGCAACTATAATTCAGTTTACTAATTGTATCACATTGCCATGGGACTTTGTCAAGTAGAAAGCCTTCAAGTGTTTTATTCTTGCAATAATTGCACATTTATTCACTAAATTAATTACACATGTAACGTAATACCATGAAAGGTGAAATTAACAACATATTGCTGATTAAATCATTGTCCATAGCTGTACGATGGCATCAAGGACCGGAATCCAACTCCGCATCTTCTGATTATTTTCTGACCTATTTTTATTCATATCATGGTACTATTAAAAGTATTCAATCTTCAATCCATTTTTATAATATAGGCTTACTACTAAGTCTATATTGAATATTTAGTTTTTGTTTTTATCTCCAAGCAACAACAACTTATCAACAACTTTGGTTGTTCTCAGCATTAATTTGAATAGAAATTTCAATATTGCAAGATGTGTAAAATTAATAAGAGGAATTGATAAACTCTTCTGGGAAATGTATTCATTCTCTAATGTTAAAAGAATCAAATTAACTAAGTAAAAAATCAATGTCAGTAAATATATTGATTGAAACGAGCTCTGGTAAGCATTTCTTTGTCAATTAACAAAAGACAAAGAGCAAACTGTAAGTTTCTGTAAATCTAAAAACTTTACCTACAAGACAAAATGATGAGCAAAAATTGAAGTTAGAAATGCTACCATGCGGCAATGGTCCCAAAAGTGCCAGCATTTGAAAACGTGGCATAAATCTTCAAGATTGGTAAAAGAATGACATTTTATAGATAACACATAGTTGAGAGGGTGATAAGAGCAGATTGTTACCCCAAGAAAACATTGTCAACTGAGGTGAAGCCAAGGTTGACAATGTCTTTTCGAGGGATAACAATCTGCTCTATCACCCTCTCCCATATGTGTTACATAATTTATCATACTGAATGTTCTGTCTATTAAATTTCAAATTCAAAGTAATAAACTATGTCGTCTTATACATAATAATTATCCGTATTTATTAAAGCGCACACTTGAGCAAGGGTCTCCGTGAAGGATAATAGAGTATTTGCCATGGGATAGAGTAAATTGTCTCCCTCTTATTAACCAATCAAAATCTGGTATTTTGACATGAAGTATAATAAATAGATATAAACTGTATAGAAGGAATAACTTTTTTTTATTTTTTATTTTTACAATTTGAAATAGTGCAATCCATTCTTTGCCATTACCTATTATAACCTTACTTATTCTTTGCCAAATCTTTCTACACAATTCTTGATGCCTTGTGGTGTAATGTTTTTTTATTTGTTTTTATGGGGTTTTCCATTAAGTCAAGAATTGCAATATTTGTAGAATGACTTCACCTGTTTTAAATATAATTAATTGATGATTCCTTAATATATAACTTTAAGGAAAAATGTAGCAAATGACAGTAAATATCAAACAGTACCATTGAAAGTCAAAGCTAGAGGCCAACTTAATCTTGCTGTAAAGTGAGAAATCTTTAGCCGAAGACCTTCCAGCAAATGTGCATATGAAGAACATAAATAAAAGTGTAGTTCCACAAATAAATTGGTTGCTTACAGTAATCTTCCAGATGTCTTTGGTTATTTATGTTGTTGGGTTGCTGTATTATTGATTATACACCCCACATCTTCTTTCATACATGGTTATGTCAATATGGTTAATGGATTGCTGTATATTGGAGTATACCCCACATCTCCTTTCATACAAAATTATTTGTGTTGATTGGTTACTAATGTATACCGCACATCTTCATGGTTATTTTGTAGTACTTTATTAGAAGGTTACATCATCACATATCAAATTCTTTTCCAACTAATGCTGATGTATTTAATACCCGTACTCAACTAAAAACCCAATTCTTTTTATGATAGCACAAAAAGCTTTGGTTCTAATTGAGAAAGTTTTACTGGCAGAGGCTTTGTGCATGGTAACATAAACATCTAGACTTGATACAGGTTTACATATAAATCAAATGATTTTAAAAGCCAGACAATTTAACAGTGGATATTATTACACATTCATTCAACCTGAAGATAGGGACAGCATACAACTCTGCCACAGAATCACTAAGAATAAGAAGAGGAGGATAAAGTGCCACTTAATTCCCTAACTTCTTTTCATACTTTTAATAGTTTTGAGATATATCCTCTAACTGTTTAGATTCCAAGACCTTCATGTCAATAAAGAACAAGGCATCAATGATATATATATATAGAAACAAGACAAGTAGAAACCCTAAAAAATTAAAGGTAGAGTCTGTAAATGTCTCCTTCCTTACAAACATACTCTTGATTTCCAATAGCAGTTAAAATCTGTACACTTCTTGTTAACTTTCTCAAAACAGACCAATTGTTTTTTGATTGACATGTCTAAAGAAGATTGTTCTGAATGTTAAATCCCCTTTGTCATAACTCTATGAATACAAACCATGTTTTTGTTGATATTTTCAAGGCAATGCTACTTAATGTCAAAAACAGAAAATATGCTGTCTAACCAATATTATAACATCAGCTGGTGTAGAGGATGAATGGAAGAAGTTATCTGACTTTCATGCTAGACTAATATTTATGCCAACCCAGTAGATTTTGCATATTTGTGAACTTTCTTCAAACTTGGATGCTTATCGTTAGCAATGTTGTAAAAATAATGCATCGAATTTGGATGCATTATATTTGCCCTTGCTACTGAATCTTAGGCCATTGAATGCTTGTTTTTTGTTCTAAAATATCTATGGACTCTATTCTTATCTTAAATATCTGGCTTCTGAAGAATAAAATAAAAAAATATGCTCAAGTATAAACTGTTGTCATGCTTGGTTTTGTGTGCCATCTGACTCTTTATTCGAGCACTCTTCTATAATGCAGACAAGTTCTAGTCTAACGAAATACTAAAAGTATAATTCTTTAATTTAAGGAGAGTTTATACAAAAGTGCATTTCACATTTCAGTATTTTAGCAGTTTAAAGGTTTATGGCATCATGTTGTATGCTATAGAATGGATAAGAAAAAAAATCACCAGATAAGCTTAAAAATGTGCTTTGCCAAGCGCAGCTGGATACGACTGCAGAGGTCCAACCCTAAACAGTTGGGGCAAAAATGGACACAATATTCAAGCTTGATACAGGTCTGAATTTGGATTGTAATTAAATATTTGACACATTATAGGTTTCTGACACAGAATAAACGTAGTCAAAGAACTTGAAATTGGTTATATGATTTGAATTTATATTCAATTGAAGATTTCTTGCTGTTGTGCAATACACTGTGCTGTTGCGCAATACTTAGTAAATCTGTTTTCAGACTATATACAAAGAATTAGCAAAATAAATTGTGACCCCCAATTTTTGTGTGTGGAAAATTGGTAATTTCTTAAATCTTGAGGAAAAAAACTGACCCCTCCCTCAAAAAAAAAAAAACATTTGAAGAAATTTTCTTTTTGTAAAATGTGGTACAATTTAAGAGACATTCATACACTTAAACACAAGTTATTGTCCTGAAACTAGAAAAATGCTTGTTTTGGGACCCTTTTTGGCCCCTAATTCCTAAACGGTTAGGACCATCACCCCCAAAAACAATCCCAACCTTTCTATTGTGGTATTGAATCTTTTGGTTAAATTTCATAGAGATCCATACACTTAAACTAAAGTTATTGTCCGGAAACCAAATATCTTCGGATGACGACGACGTGATAGCAATATACGAACGCAAATTTTTTGTGGTCGTATAAAAATAATCTTATTTGAAAGGAACAATGGTTCTGTTCTTTTCATGTTGACAGTTACTAGAATGGCAACAGTAATGAGCTAAAGAGATTATACTGTATAGCAAGTTCAAAATGGACCAGACCCTAGTATCAACTTAAGCACTACTACATATACAGGGAATGAGAATCAATTCTTAAAACAGTTTTAAATGTAAATATCAACTTGAAGAACATTAGATACAGATTTTTCTTATTGCATAGAATTTTTTAGGTCATTTATATGAAAAAAAAATTCTTTATTCAAAAGCGATACATACAGCTTATAGAATATACATTATTACCATAAATATTCAATGCATCAGTGAAAAACATGCTCATGTAAGAAGATCATATCGATAGGACATTCAGCATTTGTCTGCTGTGTAGAGGAAGGCTTGACTATATAGGAATACAGGATGGTGGAGTATTAATCAATGCAGTATAAAGGGAATATGACTACATTTCTATGATATAAAGTATACTATGCATAAAAAGGATTGATATGCTCTGAAAGCCTTACATTTCTAACTGTTTCTAAACCTTGTACAAATAAATTTTTTTTATTATTCCATATGAACAACCTCTGCATAAACAAAATCGATGTATCACTATCAAATATCCCAATTTACTATCTATCCCAAATAATGATCTAAAATTCCTTTTAAGACTTCTTCATTACAAGTTAATTGGTATATTGTGTGACATACGATATGGTACACACAAATATGCAATAATTAGCCGTCAAAGAACCCCATCTATCAGCTCTCAATAACAGATAATTATCCATATTTATACTTGTTCTAAGTGAAATGCTATAAGTGAAAGAAAGAAAAAAATGCCTGATTTGATCACTAAAAACATTTTATATGAAGACATACATGATATAAGGGAAGTAATTCTATATTTAAATGTAAATATCACATATTTGAAATGAATGTCGAATAATTAAAAAGTGAATACAAGCATGATGCAAAAATAAGACTATATCAAAATGTACATATATGTATAGGCTTGCTGTTATTTACATTTTATTTTGCAGCTGTATATGTCGAGAGGTACATGTTATTTCATATATACCATTTTCACAACTAAATAGAAAAATTGCCTATTCTCCATTGTTCTCAGGTCTCTTTCTAAACACTTGTAATTTACATTCAAAATAAGATCTAGTAGCTCATGTTATTCATACTACATTTAACAATTTTATACATGTATCAATAAAAGGTCTTGGTATATGTAAATGAGATAGCAATCCAACAACAAACATCTATTTATACTTTCCTGACTTCCATGCAAACAAGCTGTGGAATATAATATTCTAACATCTACATACTTATACCTGCTTTACATCAAGAGCTACAGTCCTGAAATTACCAGAAGCTCAGACTTGACTCTGACAGTATACAATCAAAATTTAAAAAATAAACGTCTACATATTAATACCTACCTAGCATCCAGAACGACAACAAGCTCTAGTTGGACATTCCAAGTTCTGACATCCACTTGCAGAATCAGAATATGGATCTGCTGTTAAATTGTCACAATAGTAAAGGAACTGATGGTCAAGTGAAGTGCACACAGAGACCAGGTCAGTCAGAGCTAGAGAAGTCACTTTATCACAACCAGATAGGTCAAGGAATTGCAATGATGGAAAAGTCTGCTTGTCTATCACTAATGCCCTAAAGTAAGAAATTTATACAATTGTCAATGTTTGAAAAATGAATAAAACATTATGGTTGATAAAAAAATATTCTTTTTCATTCTTGGTTGCCTGCCCCTTATGAAACTTTTTACAGTAGTTTTCCATGAACAATTCTATCAAATTGTCTAATACCTGGTTAAACCATACAGTATCACCATAAATAAACTTGTAAAATGCTGTAAATAATCATTGTAACAACATTTTTATAAAGGTAAGATGTTTTTTCCCCAATATATAATGTATTATGCATTGAAATCATTGAAAAATAAAGATAGGCACATCATTTTGTCTTGGATTTTTCAGTGACATACAGAAAGTCACAAGACAAAAAGTCAAAAGGACAGAAATTCCCAAAATTGATTAAAACTGTATTGTATTCCCTTATGTGGGTAGCTAGTACATATGAAATTGATCTATATTAATGTATGGTGCTTTCATGCTTGTTTGACCTCTATCCTTCTGTGCTTATTTTCCAATCTATTAATGACCATAACTCCTGAACAGCAAAAGTGAAAATCGTCAATATCGTAATTGACATCCATTTTGTCATCAGAAACAACATGTTTAAATTCAGAGAGCATTGGTTGTACAGTTCATAAGTTATTGCACAAAACCGACATAAAGTGTCATTTTCCAATCTATCAAGGAACCATAACTTTCATGACTTTTGAATAGTAAAGTCAAAATACTGAACTTATTGCAAGCATTTATTATTGCAAATTTGTCATGACAAACAAAAATTTGAGATTAACTTTTGCGATTTCAGGAAAAGTTTAAATTAGATATATATGTTTCACAGTTCATAAGTTAAAAGGCATGCTCGCCCATCACTTCACCATATTAATATCCAGATTTTTCCTTGGTTATAAACTGGTAATGTTTCTCTCAACTACTTTATTATTTCATTTCCTATCATAAATTGTCACTTGTTATATTAGTGAAATAAGAAATGAAATCTCTAAAAGCTGTTAGTAGTCATGGCTACAAGTTAATTGCATTACAAAACAAGACCCCCACTATATCAAAGTATCTAAAAACAGGAAGGACATGTCTGATTGATCTAAAAATTGCTTACACATTATAACTCCTCGCTGCTAGGCAGGTGACCAAGTATGAAGTTGTTGTGTTCAGTAGTACTGAAGAAATGAGTGCCGAAATTCTTTTACATTCATTCAACATACTGAAAAATTATCCTCAAAGAACATGTAGGTGTCTAACAGATCTGAACAGTGCTAACACCTTACAACTTATCACTTTCAAGTGGCTGACCAAATATTAAGTCATTTTGTTTGGTAGTGTCTGAGAAAAGTGAATGTGTCTGCTCCATGTGAGGAACCTCATCAGTGGTTGTCTTATGTAATGATCTCTCAATATATTTTGTAATTATGGGAAGTTGGTGGTGATGGCAAATTTTTTAAATAGTCTCTGTTAAATCTATTCACAACTGTGGGAAATTTAGAACATGGCATGTACTGATATGTACTGATAGTATTGCAACTCTATAGAAAACATTACTGATCAATCACAAGTAGTTCCTATCAAACTAACTTAATGTGCCTCTCTCAAGTCAGGAGCCTGTAGGTCAGTGGTTGTTGTTGGTTCATATCTGTCATATTTGTTTTTCGTAAATTGTTTTGTTATGAATTAGGTCGTTAGTTTTCTCAATTGAATTGTTTCATATTTTTCAGGTTGGGGCCTTTTATAGCGGACTATACAGGATGGGTTTTTCTTATTGTTGAAGGCCGTACAGTTGCCTATAATTGCTTACATCCACTTCATTTGGTCTCATTGGCAATCATACCACATCTCCCTATTTTCAAATTAAGCAGAGAACTTAACATTGAAAATTGCCTATTAATTGAAAGTCCCTTGACTGTGACCTAGGGGCAGGGCTGATATGTACTGATAGTAATGCAACTTTATAGAAAACATCATTGATCTATCACAAGTAGTTCAAACTGACTTAAGCAGAAATCTTAACAATTGTTGAAGCATCCTCCACCGCTGCTGTTGCTGCCAGAAAAGCAATACCTATGTCTCGCTTGAAAGTAGCAGGCGAGACAAAAACAGCTACATATGTACATGTTGTTTTTTGTCAACTTCCAGGAAACATGGTGAATAACGAGCTGAAAGCTAGAAAAATATGTCGCATGAAAATAATGCTTTACCTTCTGTGTCATTAACTTGACGCTGTTCACGTTTGGATGGGTCCATTTCATCTATGGGATGAAAAATCTTACGGGACTATGACAAAAAAGGAAAACATACTTATTGTAATGGGCTTTTAATATTGGTTTCGTTCTGCAAAGTTATTTGTGCAAACAAAACTTTCAAGGTCAGATTTGATTGTCTATATTTAGGAACACATACACTACGAATTATTTGTACATCTTTATTTTTAAGTTCACATTGTGTTAATGTTTTAAAATGCTAAAATAATGCATTTAATTTCAGGAAGTTGATGCTACCCAGGTATTTTTCTTTCTATTTCAGGGATAATGTATTTGTTAGGGTCAGCAAGAATAAATCAAAGCGCGAAAGCGCTGTAAAGGCAGTTAATTACAGGTTGTGTGTATTTTTAGTCCAGTTATATCATTATCTTGCATAGTACATTGTACTTATCAGAGGTGGCTTTCAGTATTTAAGATTTAGAGTTCTCTAATGATATTGAACAAGTTTTATGAATGTCATATTCTGAGCACTATATGAAGGCGATTGTTCTCACTTGTTTATGAACTAGTGCATTATGTCCAGTTTGTACCTTTTTTATCTATGTTTATAGTCAAATACTGTTTAAAATAGTTTGGCATTTTCTTTTAAGTAATAAGTAAATGTTATCAACTGTATTTTATTCAACTTTGCAAATGTGGTTTGTTACTGGTAAGTACAATGTATGGATGATAGTTGTTTCATTGGCAATCATAACACATCTCCTTATTTATATAATGATCTATATTCAACGACCTCAGGTACAAAAAAAATGTATGTAACTAAACTATGATGGGAAACCTTTGACTTCTTTCTTTAATATAAACTTTTGATTTGGTACCATAGAACTATGTAGAATAAATGTTCATTGCAACATGTCAACTCTTTCAATGACAATACTTTTTTTAGAAACTATAACTCCAAGCAAAATTATATTTCCAAGTATAAAGTAATTTATGAATGAAACAAGAGTGCACACGCTGAAATGTCTCGCCTTCTTTACTAATCATTGATATTATGTTGATAGTCCTAAATATAAAGCTTTATTACAACTGTCACATAAACTTAACATTAACCAAGTAAACTAAACATTGACCAATGAACCAAGAAAATGAGGTCAAGGTCAAGGTCAGATGAACCATGCTAGACAGGCATGTACAGCTAACAATTCTTCCATACAACAAATATAGTTGACCTATTGCTTATAGTTTAAGAAAAACAGACCAAAACACAAAAACTTAAAACTGAGCAATGAACCTTGAAAAAATGAGGTCAAGGTAAAAAAAAACCTGCGTGACTGACATATAGATCATAAAATATTTCCATACACCAAAGTTGAACTATTGCATATAGTATTAGAAAAAAAGACAAAACTCAAAAACTTAACTTTGACCACTGAACCATGAAAATGAGGTCAAGGTCAGATGACACCTGCCAGCTAGACATGTACACCTTACAATCATTCCATACACCAAATATAGTAGACCTATTGCATACAGTATAAGAAAAAGAGACCAAAACACAAAAACTTAACTATAACCACTGAACCATGAAAATGAGGTCAAGATCAGATGACACCTGCCAGATGGACATGTACACCTTACAGTCCTTCCATACACCGAATATACTAGACCTATTGCTTATAGTATCTGAGATATGGACTTGACCACCAAAACTTAACCTTGTTCACTGATCCATGAAATGAGGTCGAGGTCAAGTGAAAACTGTCTGACGGGCATGAGGACCTTGCAAGGTATGCACATACCAAATATAGTTATCCTATTACTTATAATAAGAGAGAATTCAACATTACAAAAAATCTTAACTTTTTTTCAAGTAGTCACTGAACCATGAAAATGAGGTCAAGGACATTGGACATGTGACTGACGGAAACTTCGTAACATGAGGCATCCATATACAAAATATGAAGCATCCAGACCTTCCACCTTCTAAAATATAAAGCTTTTAAGAAGTTAGCTAACGCCGCAGCCGGATCACTATCCCTATTTCGAGCTTTCTGCGACAAAAGTCGCAGGCTCGACAAAAAGGAGTTCTTAATTAAGTAATAAACTGATTCGCTGAGCGCAGCTGGATACACCCACAGAGGTCCAACCCTGAACAGTTGGGGCAAAAATGGACACAATATTCAACTTGATACAGGTCTGAATTTGGATTGTAATTAAATATTTGACATATTATAGTTTCTGAATAAATGTAGTCAAAGAACTTGAAATCAGTTAAATGAATTGAATTTACATTCAATTAAAGATTTCTTGCTGTTGTGCAATACACTGTGCTGTTGCGCAATACTTAATAAATCTGTTGCCAGACTATAAACAAATAAAGTTCAATTTCTTCTTAATGTCATATTTGAAATTTATGAAAATCAATAGGGAGATTACATCAATAGCTATAAATAATTCACCAAAGTTTCATGCGAACTGCTTAAAGCATTTTTGAGTTGTTGTCCAAAAACTGGAAAATCCCCCCCTTTTTAATGAATAAAACCCCATAACTCAGAAATGTAAAATCTAAAATTTATAAAATTCTAAAGGGAGCTTACGGATTGATAATTTAGTCTTAGATGCAAGATTTTTTTATCAGTTGTTTGTGGCTTTGAACTAGCTGTCAGTAAATGCGAGTACTCTCAGATCTGTACTTAGTGTCTTTTTGTTGTTTGGATGTACAACTACCCGGCCACGTCCACTTGTATTTGTATTTATCCATCTGATGAGTTAAGCCTCTTTCAACTGATTTTTATAGTTCGCT